CAGATACGTTTAGTTACAAAACCTTGAAGGTTAAAGCTGCACTAGCACGAACGAAGACAAAGTAACCAAAACTGCTTAAGACAAACTATCACCAACTGTGTTACCCTGAATATTAGTACGAGGTCCAAAAAGTGAAGGCAATTTCAGACAAAAAAATTCAAAGATCAGAACCTTTCATTTGAAGTACTAGCACGTGATGAATGCTGGTTCCTGTCGTCAGAGCCACGTGTAGAGCTACGTCGTTCTTTCGATGCCTGACGAAGTGACGACGATACGACGCGATATGCTCCTCGACTAGAACATTACGAATCAAAAATGTTTAAGTTTTAACTCCAGGAATACCTCAAGTTAGTTCAACTTACAAGGGTAGTAAAAAATTTTGACTCAGATTTTAATAAAAATCAATTAGCTAGCCTGATTCCTACTACAATCCATATAGGAATAGTTAATGAATCTCAACCTTCCAACAACCCGTTCCTTCTGCTTAGATGATGAAGAGCCGGGTGAGTGAAGCTCTTGAGACTTTCCGTGAGATTCTGCAGAAACTGTAGAGGGTCCTGGTTTTACAATTTGAGATGCAGGCGTACTACTTGACGGTAACGAGACACCAACAAGACCACTAAAAAAACTTGAAGTAACAACAATAACACGGTGCATGTAAATTAATTTTTTAAATTAAAAATTTTAAATAAAATGTAATAAGAAAAAATTAATGACTGAACTTCTAAGATACAGAGGTGAAATGATGCTTCAGAAGAATTTTCTTTAGACGTAAGAGTTGCAATTTAGAAGCACTGAAGGAAAAAACATACAATATAAGAGAAAAGAATGCAAGTTTTCAGAAGAATATCTCTACTAAAGCCTTTCAAACAATGGTATTTCCTTGAAAAAATTTCAGATATCAACGGTAATCGCACAAATAATTATGTCGAGACGTGACAGTCAAAACTCAATAAACTTCCCCTATTCAACAGAAAATCAAGCATCTGCATAAGTAAATAGCAAATTTCTTCAAAGCGTTACAGGTGTTATGACAAGAACTGAGATAGGAAAACTTGCGACTTTGGCGAATCATACATATTTTACCGGCAGCGGCTTTTTCGGAAAGTACGTGGGCAATTCCTTATTAAAAACTTAGCAGTCTTTAAAGAGCTAATAAAGTACAATTGTGCTTCTCAAAAATTACCTGCAATGCACGATTCTTAACCTTAAAAAACACAATAAACAAAATAAGAGAATTTATACTTATTACATGCATTATGATATCCAAAAAGACTACAGTTCAAAATGACTACGTCCTAGTCCTAATTAACAGCTTCTTCCTAAAATAACCCATGTAAGCGTAAAGAGAAATATCCAGATCAAATGCTTAGAACACTATAAAATACTTATTTAGACAACCTTCCAGACGATTGTAAAACCAAAACTATCTAAAATTTAGCGCCCTCTGTTCCCTTCCATCAATTTCCGGAAATTCCTGAGCAAAGCTAATTTTTAGGTGGTGCTCTAAAGCCCCTCTTAATATTTTTCTCTACAACAAACTTCCAATAGATTTACTTAAAAATTACCAACAATTGCTATTGGTTCAGCTCTGGCTACACTGCAGCAAAACTATGAGACACTTCATTCATTAAAATTAACCTCAAATAATCCTTATATTCCAATCCTAGAAAATAAAATACATAAAAGATTTGAAAAAAAGAGTGAATAAAATTTTATCAAACACTATCCCCTCAACCAATGTAAAAACCGTTCAAAAACGACGTATCTTCCAGGACTAAACAGTTCGCTATCAGTAACAACTCTACATCAACTCAAACTCATGTAAATTACTTTCAAAAAAAAACTGCAGTAGTATTTGACTTAACCACCAATTCTCCAACCACCGGCAAAGTCAAAGCGAAGAAAATCAAAAAAGATAAACACATGTTTGATTATTTATATACATTTTTTAACTACTACAGTAATTTATTTCTTTTTTTTTGCTACTACTGCTTCCGATTCTGACAAAACAGTTCCACTTTCTCGCCAAATCACTTCAGGTCAGTCTAATGTAATTGAGAGATACAAGCTTTTCTGACAGTTTAGCAGGAATGCAGTTCCTACTAAAAATCAGCTACTGAAAAAGACCTGATAAAGGCGCACCTACAGTCTGGTTCTCAAAAAAAAAGCATTTTAGAATAATTCACCAAGTAAAACAATTAAACAAAATGCCAATAACTGTTAGTCTACAATCAGTAATAAAAATTATCCTTTAACAAATAAACAATAAGAAAAAAAGACTGGTCTAGGTGAGATTAGTCCACAAAACTGGCGTGAACGGGGAATGACGAGAGACAAAAGCGCTAATGACAAACGAGAAGTTAGCTTCGGTCACCCAATTTCAAGACATTTACGTGTCAGTGACACGAGTGAGCTCGCATTTTGCAGTTCCATCCAATGGTACCTTAAATGCCCGGAGAAAATGGCAACTAATGTTCCGTTGCTCAATACAAGGTTTCTAACATCTGCACACATGCGTTACAAATCTTGAACCACCTGGTTAACCAGAAAACAGCTAATTATCTTAAAAAAGAGCATCACTGATAAAACCTTTCACGAAACCTCAGAGAGAAAACAAACTGAGTGCGAAAAGAGAAAAAAATAAATAAATAAATAAAAAACAACAGATAGATTTCAGTCAAGTTCAAGCCATTTCTATATCAGCTAAATATGGATGATTCTTTTCTTCTCATTTCAAATGGCAGAACTGAAGACATCAAAGAAAACGAATTAAAATCCGTTATAAAATTAACGTTGCAAATAGCAAAAAACGCAGATTTCTTACAGGTGGAAAAGAAAATCTCCTTTCCAAAATAAACTGAATAATAACAAGAGAAATAAAAATAAGAATAATAACAAATTAGAAAGTTAATAATATTAATAATAATGATATTAAGCATGCTAAGCGATGATAATAATAATAGTAATAGTAATAGTAATAGTAATAACATTAATAATAATAATAATAACAATAATAATAATAATAATAATAATAATAATAATAATAATGGCAGTGAATAAACATAAGAATAAGAACTACAAAAATATGATAAATACGAATAAAAATAATAATCATAATAAATAAACCTAGTGCAAATAAGATGAAGCCAATGTGCCTGACGATTATTATAATACCAAGAATAAGTTTTTTTGCTATTATAAGAAGCTAACTTCTTGCTCGGCTCATGGAAAACCACTCGTAACGGGCGCCCATCGAACTTCAGTCCAGCCAAATTAGCCTTCTGTGCCGATCGAACGTCCATGAAACTCACAATTAATTCGCCATTCCCTAATCTTTCGGCTTTTTGCACTGGACCAATACTGTAACAAAAGCAGTTTTTTCTTAACTTCTTAACAAACAGGATGCATAGATCAATGAAGCTTTTAAACTTAATAACCTTCCAAACCTCCAACTAAAGCGTATAGCCTGCAAAAAATCCCACCCAAAAAAACTAACTTCCCCTCCTCTTCGTCTTGAAAACTGACCCAGCCAAAAGTTCTTGACTTCCTTCATCGAAAATAGCAGAATCTCAGTCGCTGCGTTCTCAAACAAAATTAAAAACTACCTCGAATAAAAATGCCTTCCGGTGAGAAGCAGAAAAAAATCAAAGAAACTCCCCTCCCCTAACAAACCACGCTTTAAAAAAATTGCAGAGAAATTTCCATAAAAATATCAATCCAGTGCATATGTCGTAAGATGAAGAAAAAATTATAAAACGATTTTTCTTTTAAGAATGAAGAAAAAAGCCAATTTTGAAGCTATCTTGAACAAATACACAAAAAACCAGCACCAAACCGAACCCCTATAAAATCTCGTCCCAAGTAAGCGAAGCTTTTAAGCAGCATTTTAACTGATGGAATTACAAATGAGCAAAAAAAAAAAAACCATTTTTCTCAACGAAAAAACATTTT